CTTATCGATAGCCATGCAAAAAAAAGAGGCTCAGAACTAACTTTCAAAGAAATTGAAATCCTAGCTAAAAAAAGCAACAAGCAAATAAGATTGGCTTTCGGATAGGCGAGCTTGTGTGCTAAGTTGGAAGACATTTTGGCAAGCTTCAGCAACTATCGAGAGATTTCATACAGCAATTAAATGTCGCATAAATTACAAGATTCGTTAGGTGGGTGTCAGAGGCGCGACTCTGATCGCCTTACGAAAATTTCCCGCGAAGTACAAGGAAGCGTTTAGTTTCATTAGAATTCTTTCCGATTTTTACCTTTTTTTGGAATATTGGGGTTTATGTGAATTTTTGGAGTTCTTTTGAAATAAAACTTGTGGTGCCTTTTTGTAAATTTTGTTGTGCTTTACGCTTTTGCCGTAACTTCTGCTTTAGTCAACGGCACAACTCAGGCAGCGGTCGTGTGAACGCTTCCTTTCGACCTGTAATATAGACTCCCAGAGGACAATCACAAATGTGGCGTTTCCTCTGCATGGAAACCAACCGACAGAGCGCTTGGGCTTGCAAAGTAAGCTGCTGGAGCTGCAGATTTTTTCTCTTTGAGCTGTTGCCTGGCACTTTCTAATCTGCAGCGCTCTATCGTCTCATACTCTCCCTCCGCGCTTAGTCTAGCACAGCCGATTAAGAAGGTGAGTGAGCCCACAGACTAATCGTTTTCAACGAATTCTTTTCCCTTTTCTTTACTGCCGGGCCATTTCGCACAACACATTCCCTTCGTGTGGCAAAGGGCATCACAATGGGATCCTGGGGCATGCCTTTAATGTAACACCACCATAACGTCGTGGAACTCTAGCCGCGCAGAACCGCGCGCATCGATAACGAATAGACTATATATGAATACGGACCGGCTCCACTGTCGGGGTTAATCGCGCAAAACTTCATTTACATGCTTTGGTGAATTCTACGGTAAAACTCATAGCTTAATCACTTAGATCCGAAAAACTTACAGTCACTGTCTTGCGCCGACTTTAGTCAACTCGAACATTTCATGTTGAGGTGTTGCTGTCCATGATTGATCGAACAAGGGAGAACTCAATCGCGCGGGCAGCTGGCTAATGGGTCCAACGCGTGAAGCCGAACTCCAGTTATCAGCGCATCACTTTTTTGGGGTGTTTTATTAAAACAATAACATTACGAATATTTCTTTCCATATGTTTCCACCAGTATTCTTTACCATCAAGTCAATTAGCCTTTGTTTCATTTTTGCTTTTGCTATAGAGCAGAGTGTGCCCTAGAATTTGATAGCTGCGGCTGGGCCAGGTAGTTCAAGATCTTAAACAGGTGGGAATTTGAGAGTAGTTTTGCGATCTGTTTCTGTGAGTGTTGAGACCCCAACTGCCAGTTTGGTGAAGATTGTAACTCAATCAGGAGTTCTGTCGGATCCCAGTCAAGCAAACTTCTACTACCAGGTTCAAACCTACCCATGTTTTGTTTGTTGATGGGAACTAAACCGAGTGACAGGGTATCAATTTTTGGGTTCCAGGACAGCTACATATAAGCAAACCTTACGATTTGTAATGGACTATATTCTCAAGCACTAAGCATCCTTCTAAGACACAACGGCCAGAACCTACACATAAGACCTGAGATCTGGAGCCTAGAACAAGTTGTAGCACTCACTTTTGTGCAGGAGTCCTTGAGTTGCTAAACATTATCTCAGCCACTTTGTCCACCTGATCAGGAACGAAGACGTAGACGTCGTTCCCAATTTCTTCCCAGCAAACGGATGAACGTCGGTCATAAGTGCCAGTCTGCCAGTTCCGAGGCCTACTCCAAGCACTGGAATACGGTTGAAATTCCTCAATACCACTGTCGCTCAATTGAAAACTTGGTCAAATCCGATGTTCCGCCGGCTAAAATCCAAAAACCTCACCCCTGGAGCCTCACTGCTCTTAGAAATTCGAACCATTTCAAAAGCAACGAGCAACGCTTCTGTTTTCCTGTTACAATTTTTTTCATTTTTTTCTCTCTCACGCTGTCTTACATAGCGTATTGAATAAATAAACGCTTTAGAAAAGCTTTTGGAAGATCCCAAAGCCTTCAGAATGACTGACCTTACTTCCTGTGATTAAGGTTCGGGTCTTGAGAAGAACTAAACGAATTAAAATTTTATTTGAGCATTATAAGTCTACTACCTGTAAGTAGTCTCGCCACTTTGCACGTGCTGCCGGTCAGAGAGTGTGTTAGATGAGGTTGAAGAATTTCAGCCACAGATTTCCACAACGAAAATGGATGGTCTACTGAGAAATGTCTCGCCAGATGGCCATAAGGCGATGGGAAATCGTCCACTGCTGAAACCAACGAAAATTTATGGCACAACCCTGGATATGGAGCCTTTTGACATGGGACCTGCTAACTAACCAATACCACATATGTCACCATATTGATTGCTTTACAAAAAATGTTGGGATGAGCTGCGGATGTTCCCAGCTACATAGTTTCAGTCGTTTCAGCTTCAGTTGCTGCGGTTATTCACGCGAATCAAGGTAACTTTTTTCCACAAAATATTTCGCACGCACTAGTAATGTTGCAGTCCAAGTTTCTTTCTCTTTCAGACGCACCTTGCACCTCTTTCATATTTTTACCACAAGCTGGTGACGAATTAAAGGAAGCAGTCACGATAATTTTCATGGCAACGATAAGGAAAGCTATGTATTGGAGTGGATAGGAGGTCCTGCCCAATGTTAGAACACGTGAAGTTTCAGTGGCAGTGGCGCCTTATCAACGGAGTGATAAGGCGCCGAAATCCACTTCCGTTCAGCAAAAACCAAGACTTATCGATGTGGAAAGGGGTGCGATAAGAGCGTGCTAGATATGATACCGTTATCGTTATCGTCCCGTTTTCATTCTGGAGTGCACCTCTTATCAAGCAGCCGCACCTTCTTATCTCATCGTATCATATCTTCCATGGGCTTACACTCGTCCAACAATTACTGCCTCACATTGATAACGCGAGGGTAGCAAATCCAGCGTGGAAGCCAGCGTGACGCTTCCTTTAAAGGTAACGGTATCATATCTAGCGCCTCTTATCGCACCCGTGATCGTCCATAGAGATCTCTTATTTTCTTTGGATCAATATTTTTGGGTGCCTGAACGTTCTTCATACGACCCAAGAACTGACAAGACAAATCATCAAGTGGGCATTTATGTAAATCCTGCTGCCAGCATATCTGAAGAACTGATGGAATGCTCTCCCTCCCCTCTACCCAATGCAGCCATAGATAACCTACAGCAATGATCGCATTTGCTGCCTAAACAGTCGGATTTTACTAGGAAGTACAGACGTTTGTACAAGGTCGCGGCGGGGGAGCGGCATCATACAAAACGGAAATAAAAACGAAAAACAACATAGACTGACACTGACACACCTAAGCCCTCGTTCGTTCCTGCATTCTTAGATGCATCTGACATCCCTGAACTCAGTTGAATTGAGACATATGCTTTAAGCCCAAGCCACTGAAAATCTGTTTTTCTTGGCAAGTAAATTTATTAATAAAAATAAACTTTCTTTTCTTTTTTTCTTCTTTTTCTCTTTCTTTTCTCCTTTTCTTTTTTTTTTTTTTTTCTCTTTTCTTTCTTTCTTTTTTTCTCTTTTTTCTTTCTTCTTTCTTTTTCTTTTTCTTCTTTTTTTTTCCTTTCTTTTTTTTTTCTTTTTTTTTTTTTCTTTTTTTTTTTTTCTTTTCCTTTTCTTCTTTTTTTTTTTTTTTTTCTTCTTTTTTTTCTTTTCTTCTTTTTCTTTTTTTTTTTCTTCTTTTTTTTTCTTTTTTCTTTTTTCTTTCTTTTTTTTTTTTTTTTTTTTTCCTTTTTTTTCTTTTTTTTTTCTTTTTTTTTTTCTTTCTTTTTTTTTCTGATCCAATTTTGAGTATAAAATAACCGAACGAAAAATTAACTAAAGCAAAAATTGACGCTCCACGTAAAATTCTCATGAATCTCTTATACTCGATGTTCTTTGTCTCACTTACTTGAATACCAGCTCCTAGCCCACACAACAATCGGATTCCCTTTTTGTTATGTAAGCCCTCATCTTGGAGAGGTGTTCGCCTATCCAGATATACCACTTGTGAGCCATTGGATGCACACGTTGTCATCGACAAGAAATGACCAGCCCAACGATGTTTCGATTGTGTCATGTACTGCAGGGGATCTTTCAGGTGAGATCTCTCTCTTAATTCTGAACTTCGTAGGCTCTGTCTCCATTTTTGTAAATACCGCTTCGAAATATGTGGGCCAGGTCAAAGACCAAGGATTCAAAGACGTTTCTGAGCAATCATGTTCATGCGATTTGCTACAGCAACTTGTTTACCCTAAGAGCGTGTGCGATTAGCGGGGGCGGTCGCTTCTTTATAAGTCCACCCACCCCCTGTCTACCATATGTAAAGGTGGCGCTGGTTGCTCAGACCTCGTTCAGGCATGGTATTCTCTCAGTCTCCTGTGTTTGCTGTCCCTTCTTACTACTTCATTCTACGATTTTTTGGCCTGACTTTTTTTTGATTTCGCCATTTTTAACTCCTTACAGATTTCCACCTCCTCTCCTTATAATTGCTTTCTTGCCTAGGTTTCCTAAATCATACTCTTTCCTAAGCTGGTAGTTAGACTTCCAACTCATTTTTGTAAGACTCAGATTTTACTGAATTTTCGGATATTGATTTTGGATTTTGCAAAATTCGGATTCGACCTCCCATTCTGTGGAACATTTGCGCCACGACCAGCGTGGAAATCCAGTATTAATCCGATTTTTTAACGGGGGTCGAATGTAGACGGTGTGTTGAATCTTCCCAGTTAGTGGTCACATTACTAGAGGAAAGGTGGAATTACTGTAACCGCATGAACTGGCACCTATTGCCTTCTCTCCCCTCCCTTCTGGGAAAAGATTCGCTTCTCGCTTTCGTCCATTTCCATTTTGCCTCGTACTTCGGAAATTTACTAGCTTCACGTCAATGTTACCGCTTTCAGGATGAAACTAGACTCTGTTCTGACGATGGTTGGCGATTTCGCCGCCATGAAACGTACGCCTGACTATAAACCAGTGACACAAGCTTTGGAAACCCGAGTGACGAAAGAACCTGCCGAGGAACACAATTCTCAACGGAGACACTCGTTACACATCAGTGTTGGCACGGTAAGACGTATTTCTTTTTCTGTCGGTACTGAACGCTCAGAAGTTGTACGGGTGGTGGCTGACCTTGTTTTTCTGTGCGTCTTAAAAAAACTCGTTTATGACGCGCTGATGCGATTGTTTCCTTGTACCATGGATTGCATTAGAGTGCTCTTATCGTGCCACATTGTTTGGTTGTATTCCGGCTTTGTTCGGGCCCATTTAGTCTGGTAAGACGGGAGTTCTCCGTAGCCCACGCGCCGCTTTCCAAGTAGTCAACGGCCACAGATTAGCCCTGAGAACGAGTGTGAAGAAGTTTTGGAAAGATGGAACCTGTTCACTCCACTTACAGCGAATGAAGAGACTAATGCTACAGTAACATGCCAAAGATCACAGTCCTCAACTTGAGCAGTCAGGCGCGTGCCCACCACCGCGCAGAATTTTGTCATGTGATGGCTAGCAGGTGGAAAATAGATGATGTCAAAGAAGAAATGGCTCGTACGACAAATGGTAGAGTGGTTGCGATGAAAGAGGGCTTTTGAGGGTGGAACTGTTGTTTTTAAACTACCTCCTAGCGTCTGAAACTGAGACAATCGCGTCACCATGGGCGGTAGTGACGTAGTGGGCAAGAGGGGCTTCTTATTCGCGCGGTCCGCGGATCAGATCCTTTGCGTTATCTCGTCTAACATACGCCTAGGGTCGATTAATTGCTATCGCTTCTCTGGGAAGGTCAAAATACCGACTTCTGCCTCTTCACCCCTCTCCCCACAGGTCACTCATTGTATTCTCCACACTCAAAACGCTACTACGATTCTGAATGAAAGTACGACACAAGGTGTGAATCCCAAAAGCGACTTACTGAACTCTCATTTACCTCCTGGTAAAGCCATTGCTATGATTGGCGAGAACAAACTAAGGGATAACATGCACACATGTAGCACTCACAAGGGAGGTCTTTCAGGGCAAGGTGCGCTTTTTGGAAACGGTTTAGTACATGTTGTAGGGACGCATGTATGGACCACAAAACCATGTTTCGTTTTCGCTGAACGGTTATAGCAGTACCAAAAAAGTGG